AAAGTAATTTATCAGATCCAAATCAGATCTCACGCGTACACGTGACTTCGTCGCGACGCTCTGCCACAACACAGTCAAGCATGGAGCGAACGAAAGGATCAGCAGTGTGGTGTTTTTTTACACTACCTTCACCAACAACTCAGACAGCTTTGTGCAATATATGCAAGTGTGACGTTTCGAGAGGCGGCGGTAAACTGGCGAAATTCAATACGACAAACTTAATAAAGCATCTAGCGAAGCACCACGTGAAAGAGCATGGGGAGTTTTCGCAGCTTCACAAAGCGAAAGGAGAAGGCGTGAAAGTAACGACACAGTTGACACTGGGGGATGCATTGCAGCGTCATGAAAAGCTGTCAGCAACAAGTCAAAAGGCTATAAAGTTGACGGAAAAAGTAATGGAGTTAATTGTTTTGGGCTCGCAGCCACTATCTATTGTGGAAAACTGTGGCTTTTGAAACCTGCTTGACCATTTATATCCGAGGTACGTCATGCCCTCGCGTAAATACATATCGGAGACTGCTTTGCCTGAATATTACAAGAAGATCCGTGGAGCTGCTCAAAGGTGCAAAAAAGCTGAGCTTCACTACGGATATCTGGACATCAGATGTGTCGCCAATGTCATTACTGAGTTTAACTGCACATTGGAGCGACAGCAGCTGTAAGCATCACAGTGGAATGCTAGGTGCTTTCTCCTTGTTGGAGAAAGCAATGATTGTTCTGGCTACATTTGAAGAAGTCACAAGAAAGGTCAGTTCCTCTACTGCATCAGCTGCTGATGTAATTCCAGCCATCACTGTCCTCAAGCGTCTTTTGGCAAAAGAATGTGAAGAAGATGTTGGAATAAAAACAATGAAAACGACCTTATTACAAGCAGTGAACAGCCGCTTCAGTTCCGTCGAAGAAGAACCACTATACGCCCTTGCAACTCTGGTGGACCCCCGCTATAAAGACAGGTATGACTTTAAAAGTACTTTCTTAAATAGGTATTCAATTTTTAAAATATATATATATTTTTAAAATCAGAGATTTAAAAATTATTAGTTATGATTCATGTATAGTCTTCAATTGTATTAATCATATTATTATTTTTATGATATATAATAGAATGCATTGACTTTTGTTTCAGATATTTCACAAGGGCAGTTTCAGCAAAGGATGCACTGATCAAAGAACTTGAAGAAGAGGAGAGAAGCATCACATGTGAAGAAGAGGAGTCTGACTCTGAGCCACCAGAAAAGGTGACTCGTATGGAGCCTGGAGCAGCAGCACCAGCAGCTTCAACAGGAGCACAAAGTAAGAGCAGCTTTTTAATGGAGTTTGATCAGATTCTGGAAGAGACAGAGGATCCTGAAGCCCCAAGCAGCTCAAGTTCAGCTGTCCAAATGCAGAGTTATTTCTCTGAAAAAACGGTTAACACTACAGAAGAACCTCACCAATACTGGGAAGTTAACAGGCGAAGATTTCCCAACCTTGCTGATGCTGCCTCAAAATATTTGTGTGCTCCTTGCACCAGTGTTGAAAGTGAGAGACTGTTCAGCACTGTTTCCAACATATTGAATGAGAAAAGGAATCGTCTTACTGCAGAAAAGGTTGCCTTCTTAAACAAGAACTTGCCATTAATGAAGTGAGGAGGGAACTGTGATGCACCAGGCTGTTCTAGCCAACACAAATGTTTAGTTTGTTATTCTTATTTTTCAAAGTTTGTATCCATATTTATTCAACTTTTAGTAACTAACTTAATGTTGCATACAATTTATTTGTTTTTTTTGCAGAAACGTTTTTTTACTTTGCACTTTTTTTTGTAGTCCCTCATTCTCAGTCATTTAGTTTGAATATTTTGTTACTATCCTCAGTTAAGGTACCAGGCGCTATAATTTATTTACATTTTCAGGCAGTGTGTTGGTTTGTTGTTTTACGGTTTTTCAAATTTAAATACGTTTTATTGTCCTGCATTTTATATTTAACAAATGTTTACAAAGTTTAAAAGTTTAACATTGAGCAGCTCTTTATAGTTGCAGTGCAATACTGTTGAATCCATTTGTATTTGTAATGTTGGCACTTTACTTCATCTACTGCTTTTGCAGTTACTTTTATATTAAAGAGTTCAATTATTTTAAAACATTTTAGTGTGATCATTTCCGGTATCGGTAAATATCGGTATCGGTATCGGTAGTAAAAAAGCTGGATCGGTGCATCGGTAATTAAAAGCACTGGAGAAGTCGAAGAAAAGTATCCTCACAATGCACCCTCCCACATACAGGTATATGAGGGCACGATGCAGCAGGTAGAGGACTGCATCCTCGACCCCCACCTTCTCCTGGTAGGCGAACTGAAGAGGATCCCTCATCGTCTCCACTTGGGGCCGCATGATCTGCAGGATCTTCATCACATGTGATGTAAGAGCGACTGGCCTATAGTCATTTAGCACCAGAGGGCGTCCCTTCATGGGGCCCGAGGCGATGCAAGAAGTCTTCCATAGAGAAGGGACTCTTCCGTGCCGTAGACTTAGGTTGAAGCCCTGCTGTGAGTCCCTTCTCTATGAGACAATCACCATAGCGACTGAAAAAAAAAACTGCAACCACAGCAGCAGTTTTACCTTTTTATTTTTTAACTTGAACAGCTGCATTTACATATGTGTTTACATATCGACAATGGAAACGCATTGTCTGTGAAAATAAATCACAATGTCATATTTTGCCGAAAGTATGGAGCCCCAACAGCGGCTTTTAGGATTATTAGCACACACTTTACTTTGTTTCCTAACATGAGTCCTTCTAATGCATACTCTTTTCTTCTGCCCTTGTCAATCAGTGCAACCTTGCCAAAAAGAGAAGAGGAAATGATTTATTTTCCTTTCTTCTCCCTCCATTTAATTTGACGCATTAGCCAGATATGAAACGCCAAAACGCCACTTCCCTCTTAAAACACCTTGTCTTGCAAATGATAAACTCACCCCAAAAAAATCACATTCTATTTTGGTTTCTCTTTTGTTATGTGAAAATGAATGGCACTACAGAGGGCGGCCTTGGAGCAATTTGTGATGGCGGTTCTGCATAAATTACCTGCAAAGGTGACAGAGCGATCAAAGTCCAAATGCATAACGGGAAAAGTTGTGACCTGGTAGCAGATGACACACATTAGCCTCGGAATGATGCCGGCGTACTGATGTTCACAGAGCGCTGTGACATTTGTCTTTACATGAGAGGTGTAATTATTAAATGCCGTTAAAATACATCTGTCGGCATCTGCTTCAGGTAGCAGGCGCCTCGTAACCGTGGCAATCATAATCACAATCATCGCTGCCATTACGCGCGCAATATGGAGTCAGGAGTGGGGCATAAAGAGATGTCAGGGTTTATTAGTGACTGTTTAGGGAAATACAATGGGAACTGATGAACGGTATTAAAGGAGAATGAGTATCTGTTGTTTTTGGCCATTAGGCATGATAATGAGTCTAATTACTTTAACATGTCATGTTTGGAAATATAAAATAATAAAATATATGCTGAAAAAAGTATCATTGATAAATAATGCTGTTGACCTGCCATACCCTGATGGTACCACCAGAGCGAGATATGGAATTTGTTTTTTGTTTTTTTTTCTAAACTTGAAAATTACCAGCTGCAGCCACTACTAGGAAATTGTAAAGAATGTTGTTTTACCAAAATAGATAATGTGGGCAATACTTTTGTTTTAGAAGACAAAATGCCATAGTGGTGCAATTACTAGGATTGAGGCAGGAGGAGTGGGGGCGGGTCCTGGCCTCAAAAGTGGCCAAAATGACGTGCGCTGACATGCTTGCAATACCACCCCGGGCCGATGGGGGTGGACCCAGAAGAAGAATTAGCCAATGCTAACATATAGCATTGGCAGACCTCCCGAAAACGTCTTTACAGGATGGACCAAAAGTTGGCTCTTGGCCCAAAGCTCCGTTCCACATGTGTGTCAATGCCGAGGGGGTGAAATTTTTTGGACCACTCTAGTTTACTTGCTGTGAATTTTTGAAGTCTCTCGTTCAAATGAATGGAGCTGCGCCGGCTGACGCATGCGCAGATGCGTTTTTTTCCCAATTTTCTTGTGGGCGGGACCACTTGCGGCCATTTTGGATAGCTTCAGTAGAGCACATTTTTTCCCCCATTAGTTAGAACGGCGGAGATAGGCGTGACTCTGTCCGTTAATATATACAGTCTATGGGCAGGAGCTGACACAGTGGTGAGACCAGTTTGGTAGCAACGCCAAACAGCTTTTCAGTACCTATCCAAGGAAGTCGTCAGGTAGAGAGAGTTGGGTTCCAGAGCCCGAGCTGTGTGTGGAGGTGAGACGTTAGTAAATTTCAACCTCCTCCGCAAGTTCGGCAAAGCTGCTGTGTTAACTGGGCTGTTGAGGTCGCGCCTCTCAGACCTGATCCTCATGAAACCCTCCGCCCAAAAAACTGATGGAATCCAAACAACTACTGTGATCGATGGGTCGTAAAAATAATCTGCAACTAATCAATCATCAAAAGAAACCGTTCCACAGCCTGGGTTTGCGATTTGTACTGTATATAAATGATTCCTTAGCAGACTGGACATCCAAATCAGAATACATTCATATACTGGAATGCATGACTGAAGCCTATTCAACAAAAAAAATCATGGCTACTTTTATTTATGCTCATGTGTGAAGAAAACATATGGCCACAAGCATTTAGAAATCACATTACCTTGCACATGCACCGCAGGATCCATTCACGAAGCTTCAAGTCAACACACTTCCAAACATTGAAGCTGGCAGATTGTGGATTAAGACCTAAAAACAGCCACACGCACATTTCTTCACAAATCACATCAAACGGCACTACGGCACCCGCCCCCGCCATTACGGCACGCAAACACATAAACAGCCTTTACAAACCCGATCACCACCATGCAGGCCGCACGCACCCGGAGACGAGCCGGTGCCAAGCCATTCAGCCGAAAAAGGATTTAAATATCACTGGAAATGAGGCTAGCGAGATTGCATCACTTCCGGATCAGCTGAGCCTGGTCCAACGCCTCTGGTGGCCGAGTAATTCAATATTCTACATGTGCATAATGCCGCAATTTACCCAGCGTGTGTAATCAGCAGTGAGATGGAAATCAGGAAAGAAAGGAGCCCGCAAGCTATGTGCATAATTTGTGCTCTTATACTAAATATGATATGGCTGTGAGCGCTTCCGAGTCTTGTCAAGTGTGGGAGAAAGAAGAGGCTGCAGTACAAAGAAAGGCCAAGTATGAAGACCAAGGCGGATCCTACTTTCCATCAGGACATGTGGAGAAGCGGGTCATGCATGTGCATCCACTGTGGCCATATGAATACGTACAAATCTGGCTAAAAGTGGTACTAATCCTCACGAGTCTTCTTGACTCAGGTTGCCAGATATGCAGACGAATCCAGCTGGGACCATAATATCTGAATATAGAGTTTTGTCAAGAACAAATATATAACCAACACCTTTTTCACAAAGAAAAAGAAATCTTCTTTGTTTTGTCATTAATGATTTGAGAATCATAACGAGACCTTTCTTAGTTCTGCGGCCACATGTTACTCTACCATTTGCTCAACACGGAGACAACCTGGATCGCGGACTTTCTAATTGGTGAAACGGTGGACATCAAAAAATGAAAACAATAACAAGATTTAGGGGCTGTAAAACTAATTTTGAAATCATCATGGCCGAACTACTGTTATCAGTTAAAGAAGTACTTGAAAAGAGCATGGTTTATTAATGCCTTTTGACAGATTAAGGCTGTTTAATGATGACTTGACATGAACATATATAATATTTTGCTACTTTAACTCCCATTGATTTTATTGTAAAATTCTAATTTAATAATTTTGGTGACATTCTATGGCAGTTAAAAGCTAATTTTACATTAATGTGTAAAACCAGAGTACTAACCCTCACCAAGCCAATAAGCTCTCAGTATAATTTTTTTTAATGTTTTCTAATATTTTTTTGTTTTCTTATGTTGTGGCCTAATTTGTAAACCGGCGGCCTCTGTTTGGACTATAGCTTACTAGAAATAGAAACGATCTTTCTCATACAACTGAAATAGTCTAAACAGGGCTTAAGGAGAAATCAGAAAAGAAAAATATGTGGGAAAATGTGGGAACATCATGGAGGGCGAGGGTGGGACAATGTCGATTTGGAAGTAGAAGCTCTCAGCAGCCTGGAAAAAAATAAAGTTCAGAGGATCAAACAGTTTGAGCTCAGAAAATGCAATAAAAACAAACACATAGGAGCCATTGGTCCATAGAGAGAAGGATGACCACTGTGAATAGATTAAATGTCCTGGATCATCACTGTCTTTTGACCCGCCTCCATCGGCAAGGAGCCACCTAAAGTCGCAGTGGCAAAGAGATGAGAAACCAGGGGGAGTCCCACATTGAGAGAGGGATCTGCTCTAGATCCAGGCGGCCAGGCACTAGCTCCAGGACTCAGGCTGTGGAATAGGGACTTT